GGCGCCGGGGGCTCCGGCTCCTCCGGCGGGGCTCGAGATGAGGCTGGCGAGGCTGCTCCAAGGCGGCCCGGGAGTCCGCTGCGCGGTGCCCAGTGCCAGCCGCAGTCTGGCCTCGGGCTCGGCCTCGGGCTCGGCCTCGGGCTCCGGGCCGGAGTCGGAGCGTGGCGTTCCGGGCCAGGTGGACTTCTACGCGCGCTTCTCGCCGTCGCCGCTTTCCATGAAGCAGTTCCTGGACTTCGGTGAGGGCGGCCGGGCCTTGGTGTGCGGGCCCCGTCCTCCCAGACGCACCCCTCCTTCCCCTTGTCGCCTCCCCTGTGTCTTAGGTGCTTCCTTCCTCCCCGGAGGGTGCGCGCTCTGGCAGGCTGGGCACGTAACCGGGGCTTGAGACCAGGGTGTGCGAGAAAAACAAAGCAGGGGCTGCAGCCTGGCGCGCACGTGCGCAGGTGCGCGCTTGGGACCCGGTGTCTTCTGGGGAGCATTGCTCAGGTTCAAGGCCAGAACGCACACAGCTTCGAGGGTGGCGTTCTGCCGAGGCGATATCAGTGCCAGCACAGCGATGATCCTCTAGAGTGGCGTGATGGCAGGAAAACAAGTTACTACTGGCCCAGTTCTTTCCTCGCGAGTGTTTCCACCGAAGAGCAAGTTCGTTTCACGAGCACGTGTAAAGTGCTTGGTCTTGTCAGTGTGTTACAGATTGGAGAAGGAACTGCAGAATTAGGCCTTTGACTTCTCATCAGGAGTAATGCGGGGGTATGCGTAATATATATTCTACCATTGACATCCAAAACTTCTGGAGTAGAAAAAGTTATCTCTGTGTCGTGTTGTCAGAGTATAACATGGTTAAAGGGCATAGGAGATAAGTGGCGTGGCTGGATACTTTATCTTAAAATTGTGGTTTGCAATGTGGCTTCCCTGTGTTTCTTTTTTAAGGGAGTGTGAAGGGCCCCGGTGGTTTTATTTATTTATTTGCTTTTATTTTTAAATGCCTGTACTATAGTGTTCATGGATATTCTATTAAACTTTCGCAAGATGTTTTCCTTAATAATACACCTACTGTTGACAAGATAGTTTCTACTAAAGTTTCATCTGCAAGGTTGAATTAGTTTCAAATGGATTGTTGAAATAAAACTTTAGTTGAAGGGAAGCTGCTTGCCAAGGGATGGATACTCATCAACTATTCTGCCAGACATCTGGATACAAGAGTGGAGAAGTGGGCAGGTGATTTTCCCAGGCATCAGACAACTGAGTAGGTTCTTCTTGATGGTTACTGATGTGGTTCTGGTAGTCTTTGCCTCCTGTTGCCAGAAAACCTTGTCTGTACTAACTCCATCCTGGTGATTCGTATTTGTATCTAGGCAGTCTTGACATACCTGGGTCAAAATTTACCCAGAATCAGGGATCAGAATTTCTAAAGGGTAGCGGCAGTGGGGCATATAGATTGGGCTTTTCTCACCTCTACTCATAGACCTCAAGCCTTAAAACAGACCCACTTAGTTTATCTTCATCCTAAAATGAATAGTAAATGTGAATTATAACAAAGTACCTATGTTGTTGTACTGATCCATTGGAATATCAGGAATCAGAAGGTCATTCTGGGGTCAGGGTTACTTTGTAACTTAGCTCAGCCTTGCCTGGATATATGTTTGCTTCCCAGTCCCTTTCTCTCACTGTGATAATTCTACCATCATGACCTTACCGAGTGACTTTCTCCTTTCCCCTCACTTCCTGGCTCCTGGCAGCTTCTGCCCTTCTACTTACTGCCTTTCCCACTGTGCTTGGTTTCAGGATCAGTAAATGCTTGTGAAAAGACCTCATTTATGTTTCTGCGACAAGAGTTGCCTGTTAGGTTGGCAAATATAATGAAAGAAATAAGTCTCCTTCCAGACAATCTTCTCCGAACTCCATCTGTACAGCTGGTACAAAGTTGGTAAGAGTCCCATCTTGTGTTTGCAGTTTCAGCGGACTTGTGGACTTGGTTCAAGGTTAAAGAAAATACTTTTAACTTACTATTTTCTTTTCTTTTTTTTTTTTTTTTTTTTGACAGAATCTCAGATAGCTCTGCCTGGCCTGGAACTCATTATGTAGACTAGGGTGTCCTCAAATTCAGAGAAGTCCACTTGTTTCTCTCTTCCAAGTGTTATAGATTAATTTAATTATTTGAGATAGGGTCCTACTATGTAGTCCTGGGTGGCCTGGAACTTTATATAGATCAGGCTGGTCTCAGACTCAAAAATAACTACTTGATTTTTCCTCCCATGTGCTAGGAATGAAGGTTTGTACCACCATGCCCTGCCTGTATGTATGTATGTATGAATGTATGTATGTATGTATGTATGTAAATGTGTGTTTGAGTATAGATGTACCACACATGTGCAGGTTCCTGTGGAGGCCAGAAGAGGGCACAAGATCCCCAGGAACTAGAGTTAAAGGCAGTTATGAACTGCCTTCTGTGGGGGTTCCTACACCCAATCTGCGTCTCTACTAGAGCAGTAAACGCTCCTAACTATTGGGCCACCTCTCTTGCTCTGCACATGCTCTTCAGTAGACTCTTAAGGCAATCGAGGCATTCTGCTCCATGTGCCTTGTCTTCTCAACGCTGTACTTGATTAAAATTCCTTAGCTTTGAGAAAACCAATCACGCCTGCCCAGAAATACTGATACTAAATTTAAGATTTATGTTACGGTCTCTGCAGGAGTGTTATGTTCTAATGAGAAAAATATCTACCATTTGCCGATGGCTGCATACTTACATACATTTCTTTTTATTCTTTTAATCATGCCTGGTAGGTGTGATTCACTCCTTTTACTGGTGAGGAAGCTAAGACACTATATAGTCCTTTGTCCGGGTTTCAAGCCCGCTTTTGTCTGCTGCTGCTGTATCATGGTGTCTTCAGAATAATGACATGTATTCAGGTCTGCATGCATTTTCTCATAAAGCAAGTTTATTTTGCTGAAGTACATCTTTTTCTAAATTTAAAAGGTTAGGGGATGGAGTTGTAGTAGTTGATAGAGCGATTGCTGGCATGCAGTAGGTCCTGACCTCAACCCTGAGCCCTGCAGAAACCAGAGGAAGTGGTGCACACCTGTAACCCCAGCACTCTTGGGACGCGGAGGCAGAAGGATCAAAAGTTCAAGGTCAAGCTTCATCACACAGGAGATTCTGGGCCAGCCTCATCTAAGTGATGTCATGTTTCAAACAGCAAAAATCACAAAAGTTACAGCTCTTATTCTGCTTTTCCTAGCATCTGTGTTAATGAGTTCAGTGTGATGATGCTTACAGCCCACACTGACCACCTTCTCCCTTCTAAAAATAAGTAGAAATTATTGTAATTATATAGATACTGTAATTTCCCCAAAGTGATAAGAAAAGGTTTTTAAATTTAAAAGGTTTTTTTTGTTGTTGTTGTTTTGTTATTGTTGTGTTTTTTTTTTTTATGGGTATGGGTGTTTGCCTGGATGTATATCTGTGCACCAAAGGTGTGCCTGGTGCCTATGGAGGCCGGAAGAGGGTATCAGATCCCCTGGACCTGGAATTGCAGGTGGTTGTGAGCTGCAGTGTGGGTGCTAAAAACTGAACCCAGGTCCTTGGAAGGAGCAGCAAGTCTCTTGACCATTGAAGCCATTTCTCTAGTCTGATAATAGAAATTTAAGGATGTACATTTTTTACGTGGTCCACCTGTCTAAATTGTTTATTTTGAGACAGTCTTCCTAACTGCACCTCCCTAGTGCTGGGATGGTAGGCCTATATCACTATAGCCTACTTGTTAATTTTAAAGTGTTATTAACTTTGTTTTAAATTATGTTTTAAACATTGTGTGTGTGTATGTGCGTGTGCACATGTGTGTTTGTGTGTGTGTGTGTGTGTGTGTGAGAGAGAGAGAGACAGAGAGAGAGAATGAATGAATATGAGTGAATGAGCCTATGTACTCACATTCCTGTGGAGGTCAGAGAACAACTTGCAAGAGTCAGTTCCCTGCTTTCCCTATACAGGTCCCAGGGATCAGACTTTTTGTTAGGCTTGAGGGCTGGTGCCCTTACCCACTGACCCATCTTCCTGCCCTTGGTCCTTGTTATTTTGGGACACTGTACAGACCAGGCTGACATTGAACTTGCAGAGATTCTCTTGCCTCTACCTCCTTGGTAATGGAGTCACAGGTATATGCTACCATGCCCAGCTAAAAGCCAGTATCTTTTGTTTTTTTTTTTTTTTTTTTTGAGACTATTCCTGACTAACATGAAACTCACTACATGCACCAGGCTGACCTTGAACTCTCAGAGATCCTCTTGCCTCTGCCTTTCCGGTGCTGGAATTAAAATTGTGAGCCACCATGCCAGGGTGGAAAATATTAAACAAAAGTTCTGTTTGTATGCATGGACAGAGTCAAGTATTAAGTGGGAAAAAAAATAACTTCAAAACATTTGCCAAATGTGATTAATGAAGTTGCTAATTTTCTATTTGTAGGTGTTCTTGTTCTGGTCCCAGTACCCACACTGGGGGTTTCCCGATTACCTGTAACGCCAGCTGCAAGGAGTCCAACACCTTCTTCTGGACTCTGAGGACCCCTGTTCTCACATGTGCACATACTCCCCTAACTTATGTGTACACATAATTCAAAATAAGTCATTATCAAAAGAAGATAAACAGGAGTATGGAAAGTTGGCTCAGTGGTTAGAAGTGTTCATAGCCCTTCCAGAGCACCAAGGTCAGGCCATTCATAACTGCCTGTAACTCCGGCTTCAGGGCATTAGTCAAGCTTGTCTGGCCTCTGAAGGAACACACATAAGCACACACGCGCGCGTGCACACACACACAGAGTAGAAGAAAAAATAAAGAAACGGAGAATGAGTGCTTCATGCTGGTCCCCGGAGGTTAGTTAGTTCATGTAGTTGAGTGAGAAAGTGGTTTAGAGGGAATCATGGGCTACGCAGGAGACAATTTAATCTTCCAAGGCAGCCTTTCCCGTTCCCTACAGTTCCTCATGAAAACTAGCTTATCCTGCTTTTTGAAACCTGGCTTTGCCTCACAAGGGGCAGAGATTTAAATATCTCCTAAAAATCATTTTTGTCTAAAAGACTTTTTCTTGCCAATGCAGAGAAATTTGAGACTAAAGCAGGGTGGTAGCAATGACAATCGCTGGACCTTGGAATGCAGCAAGACCTTCTGTCATCCACCACGGGGGTTTCCAGGTGTAGAAGGTCCTTTCCTTGCCCCATCCCTGCACAGCGCTTCCAGGCATGCAGGATTCCTGATACCTGAATGGCTGTGGAGGGGTTTTCAGCCCTGGCCCTCTGGTGCCCTTGTGTTTCGCTGTGTGATGCTGAGAAAGTCATTTGAACTTTCTCATTTTGTCTTAAATAAGTGCTCTCCTACCTTGAATTGTTGGGTAAATTAAAAAAAAAACAGCTTAGATTTTAATTGCTTTTGTGTTTTGTGTATGGTAGATTGTAGGCTTTCAGTAAGTGTAAGTACTTGTAGACTGAGTACAAGTCTACATTTGCAATTTGCAAATTAAGGTTTTAAAAGTACACTTACACTTAAGTTAGTTCTTAGAGCAAGGTGTACCCCTCTTTTTGCTGTGACTAAGACAGGCATGTACCCATGATCACAGTTAGGAGTGACAGTTCTCATGATGAAGTTTTTATAATCTAATATGCGAAGGGATGTAAAAAATTAAAAACTTGCAGGGTTTAGAATGTAAATCTTAAACTCTTAACTCAAATTTGGCCTCCTGATCTGTGTTTGTGTGTGTTGAGGGGCAAATACTGAGCAATTGCTTTACCACCAAACAACACCCTCCAGTTCTTGTCAGTTTGTAGTTGGATTTCTCTTTGGGCTGCCAGGTCACAAATAATGACACGGAGACTTATTAATTATGAAAGCTCAGCCTTAGCTTGGGCTTGTTTTCAACTAGCTCTTATAACTTAATTAATCATTTATATTGACCCACATTCTTACATACTGTACGTCCCGTTCTCTCTGTGTCTTCTGGTAAATCCATGCACCTAGATTCTTCCTTCCAGTGTCTCTCCCTCTGCCTAGAAGTCCCGCCTTTTCTCTCCTGTCTAGCTATTTGGCCATTTAACTCTTTATTAAACCAATCAGAAGGTGCCTTAGGCAGAGACACATCTTTACAGTATAAACACATATTTCATAACATCTGTTTTTCGTTTTTTGTTTTGGGGACAGGGGTTTCACTATTTAGCCCTGGTTGTCCTGGAACTCTCAGTGTAGACCAGACTGGCTTTGAACTCACAGAGGTCTATTTGCTTTCCAAGTGCTGGGGCAAAAGGCATGAGCTACCATGCCTGGCCCTTATTTGTGATTTCAATGGTAAAACTATGCACGCACTTTCTTTAAAGATTTATTAGTATGTGTGTCTCTGTGTGTGTCTGTGTCATGTATATGTCTACATGATTGTATGCCATGTGTGTGAATGCCCATGGAGACCAGAAGAGGGTATTGGGTCACATGGAGCACTGATGATTGTAAGCTGTCCTCTGTAGGTGTTGGGAACTGAACTTGTGTAGTCTGGAAGAGTAGGAAGTGCTCTTAACCACTGAGCCACCTCAAATGCTAATGGGTGTGAAAATCCTATTTCAGGACCAGCATGTAGCTCAGTTGCTAGAGCGCTTGTGCAGCGTGCACTTGACGCAGGGCTTGTGGTATGCCTGGTTGCATTCTACCCCGTCTCAAAAAAGAGAGAGAAAGAAAACAATAATCCTACTTCAACCATAATTTGTAGGAGTATTTTAAATTTAAGACTATAAAATATGAAAAAACCCTTTGTGTTAATTGTACAGTATGAATAAACAGCTCTGATTTGTGTCTTAGGTATATCCAGAGTCTTCAGGAGCTGCTTGGTTTTAAGGACAAAAGTGCTGAAGATGCTAAAACTATTTATGAGTAAGTATAATTGTATGATCCTATTCTGAATACAGATCTTATATGTGTGTGTGTGTGTGTATATATATATATATATATATATATATATATATATATATATTGTTTATGTTTGTTTTTGTATTTTGAGACAGGGTTTTTCTGTGTAGCCCTGGCTGTCCTGGAACTCATTTTGTAGACCAGGCTGGCCTTAAACTAAAAAAGATCCACCTGCCTCTGCCCTGATTTTGTATTCTTTAAACATTGTATAAAAGTGTAAATGTGATTAGCTCAATTTGCCATTGGCCCACTTTAAGGAGGCGGATTAACATCTTTTACTTACAGCATAGTTACTGTATTCATTTATAGCAACCCACATGGGCTCTGAGGACAGCAAGACAGTATAAACCGCAGAGCTGGCCCCGATGTAAAACACCCCACATCCCTCTTTACTGTAAGAAGAGGCAGTTCAGTGTGATGAGCAGTGACCATCTAGATGTGACCTGCATGCCACCTGGTCTGTTGTCCCGGGGAGGGCGTGCCAGTTCCAAAGGGACAGCCACCCTCTGCTCCCAATGTTCACTGATGTGCGCAGATGCCACCCAGATAATCAAAAAAATTGTTTTTAAAGGAAAGCTTGCAAGTCTGTATTTTCCATGTAAGATCTCTGATTTTGAAACATGGCAACTCCTGGAAATGCTGCTTTTGCTTTATAGAGGAGCTGTGAAAACTAGCTCTGGGTTCCTGCGGTCTGTGGTTTGTAAGATAGCATGAATCCTATGCTCAGTCTCATAGCCCAGACAGCAGAGTTGGTAAACCCAGCTAGTTACTTAAGCAGTTATCCGTCTGTAATGAATGTTATTAGAATATAAAGACCATTGTCCACAGACTCTGTATACTTTTTTTAGACCGTCTTTTAAAAGGGTGGTGCTACCGCAGTTCTCAAACATGTTTTTGGTTTGAAAGTAATATTCATCAAAAGATCACTCTCTGGGTGAGTGATGTCATTTAGTGTTTGAAACAACTCTTCTGAGATGGTGCATTTATCCACAGAGAGAGTTGTGCCTTGGGGTCTAGGAACAAAGCAAAGGTAAGCGTTGGAATATATATAATATATAAATGACAGGAGTAAGAACAGAGCAAAGGTAAATGATGGAATATATATAATATATAAATGGAGGGACTAGCAACAAAGCAAAAAGGAAATGATAGAATATGCTATAAATACTACTGTGGAACCTTTTGAAGACATCCATCATCTATTTTTTTCCCCCTTTGGTGAAGATTTCTCTGTGTTGCAACTCAGGCCGTCCTGGAACTCATTTGTAGATTAGGCTGGCCTTGAACTTGCAGAGATCTGCCTGCCTCTGCCTCCCGAGTACTGGGACTAAAGACGCGCGCCACCTGCATTCTAACAATTATGCTTGTGTGTGCATGTTCATGCATATGCAGGTTCCCGTGCATGTGTGTGGAGGCCAGAGGACCACCTCAGGTGCTAGCCTCTAGAATGCTTGTCATCTGCCTGTTGTGAAATGGGATCTCTTGGCTTAGTCAATTAGGCTGGATTGGTTGGCCAGTGAATTCCAGGAATCCTATCTTTTTCTCCAGCACTGGGATTACAAATGTGTGCCACCATGCTTGGCATTTTTACACAACTTTGTGTGGACTGAACTTGGGTCATTATGCTTATACAACAAGCCCTTTACCGTCTGAACAGTTTTTGTTTTCCGAGACAGGGTCTGATATGTGGCCCATCACTGTGTAGCCCAGCCTGGCTTCTAGTCCACAGTGTTTTGCCTGCTTCAGCCTCTGCCTGGGACTGCAGTTTCCGCTCAACAGCTTTTGTTTTAAAGAGAGAAACAAATAAGGAACGGATTGTAATTTCTGTTGTTGTTTTTGAGGATTTCTTTAAAAAATTGTAATTTGTCTTAATAGCTTGCCTTTGAAATTTATTGCCAACTAAGAATTCCAAAAGTGTTTTAAGTGATGAAAAAAAATCATTGGAGTAAGTTAAATAGTCCTTGGAAAGCACTCCTTTGGAAGTGTGAATCCTCATGGCTAAGTTGGGAGACTGGTTTTGCTATATCACAATTAATACTTCTGTCTTTTATTCCTTAAATTGACAGAAATAAGAAGATAGTATGATTTGAAAACTCTTTTAATCCAACAGTTTTTTTTTTCTCACCTACTTTGTAAACTCAGGGTAGATGAAGTCGGAGTTCTTTTCTCACTTTTCTGTACCTGGTGGTTCCTCTTTCTAAACTCTGGGGAGGAGATCCACAGCCGACCTTTTTGGTTTACCCTTCTTGCCTCACTGTAGAGCCTTTCCCTAGAAGCAAGGGCCCTTTCATTGGCAGCGCTGGCAGGTGTCTCGTCTCTGGCATGCTGGCCTCATTAGTGAGCCTCAGATGCTTAGATAACAGTGGATAAGGGAAACCTGTTCACTGTTCATAGTGGTGTGGCTGCCGTACGGGTGTTTTACTTGGAGATCCTTGTACCTTGTAGATTCGTATATTTTATGATCTGAAATGTATTTAACCAAGTGTGGGAAAACCTTCACTGATGCCTCTTTCTCTGAACTTGGGCTTTTTGTAGCTACAGCTTGTATCTTAAAGTCACTTGTCAAAATATTTGGATGTTTTGACAGAGAGGTTTGTTTAGATTCACAGACACAGTGATAAGGATCAGAAACCGGCACAATGATGTCATTCCAACCATGGCCCAGGGTGTGACTGAATACAAGGAGAGCTTCGGGGTGGATCCCGTCACCAGTCAAAATGTCCAGTACTTTTTGGATCGATTCTACATGAGTCGCATTTCAATTAGAATGTTACTCAACCAACACTGTAAGTGTCTCAAAGTTGAAAGAGGTAGTTAGTTAATGTGTGTAGTCCTCTTAAGTTTTCTTAGACAGTGTCCCTTTAAAGTGAACATCACTGCTATACAAAGAAGGCATTTTATTGACTTTAAAATATCATCTTTATGTGTTAGATAAATGTTCTGCTGTTTGGTACCGTTTAGAGAAACATCGTTTAGATCTGGAAATGTGCTTTCTTTGGCTTTTCACTTTTGATAGCTTTATTGTTTGGTGGAAAAGGAAGCCCATCTCATCGAAAACACATTGGAAGCATAAATCCAAACTGCGATGTAGTCGAAGTTATTAAAGGTAAGTGCATTTGTCTTTTCTAGAAGGATGTGAACGTCACCAGAGTACTGAGTGTCGCCCCTTCCCTTATAACCACTGCTTGTGTCATGAGAGAAAAATGTTAGGAGCAAACACGTTCGGTTTGGAAATCACTTCATGACATGGAATTATGCAGTGTGTAAGGTAGATGACCTCCTGATAGAATTCTCTGTTTGTAAAGTTTGGTGCTGTTAGTAAGTATATTTATCTGTTTTGCTTCAGAAAATTCAAGTCTTTCTCCATCCACCCTTAAAAAGGACCACTGAGATGTCTCAGTGTGTAAAGACACTTGCTGCCAAGTCTTAAAACCTGACTTTGATCCCCAGAATTCCCTAGTTGTAAGGAGAGAACTAACTCCAGGAAGTTGGCTTCCATATGTGCCCCTTGGCGTGCACATACCCACAGATGTACACACACACAGAAAATCAGTATGATAAAATATTCAGGTTCTGACTCTGGCCTGTCTGATTCCCAGTAGGAGGAGTGAAAGTTCATAACAGTTTAATTTGCATCTTACCAAGCATTTTTTATTGAATTCATGTGCATATGCATATTGTATCAGTCTTTTATGGTTTTTGTTGTTTTTAAATTTTCAAAAAAAATTTAAGTGTATGGGTGATTTGCCTAGAGTTTTGTCTTTACATCATGCACATGCCTGGTGCTATTGAAGGCCAGAAGAAGGCATGTGATCTCCTGGGACTAGAATTAATGAGCTGCCTTGTGGATACTGGGGACTGAACCCAGGCCCTCTGCAAAATCAGCCTGTGCTCTTTTTTTTCTCACTTGAGACAGGCTTTCTCTGTGTATCCCCAACTGTCCTGGAACTCACTCTGTAGACCAGGCTGACCTGGAACTCAGAGATCCAGCTGCCTCTGCCTCCTGAGTGCTGAGATTAAAGGCGTTTACCACCATGCCTGGCTAGCACCCTGTGTTCTTACAGTTGAGTCATCTTTTCAGCCCCCGTGTTTGTTGCTTTGAGAAAGTACAGTGCTTCAGACACTTTGCTACAAACTCCCAGTCACATGGACGTAGCCCACAGCTTTGAGTGGCTCTGTAGAATGTAACACAGTGCTATAACCTATCCTTCTTATAATGCACTTAGGTCGTGTGCATTTTTTTCCTTCCTGTTACTCACAGTATCTTAGTGAACATCCTTAAATATATAGTGATTTGCTAGTATAAGGCAGAACTCTTAGAACTGCCAGGTATGGTGGTGCACACCCTTAATCCTAGCACTCAGGAAGCAGGGGCAGGTGGGTCTCCGTGAGTTCAGGGCCAGTCAGGGAATTTGAGATTAGACCAGTTGGGGTTACACATTAAGGCCAACAACAACAAATCCTGAATTAACAACATTTTTGTGTATTTAAATTTTTAATGGTTCCCAAAAAGTATCAAATAATAAAGGTGTCCACTTCCTAAACCCTTACCAACTGTTTTTGAGATGTCTCAAAAACAAACATACAATGTAAATATATATTTAATGTATTAATAATAATCTTTTTAGCCTGCTGTTTTTCTTTTGCTTTGTTTACGGTATGTTTTTTCATGCCGACATTCTTAAGTTTTGTGGTCCTTTTTTTGTCATTATTTTTTCATGGCTCAGAGGGCTTTGTCACACAAAGAGCCTTCCCCTCACTAAGACTGTTAAAGTGTATCTTCTTCTGCAGAGAATTTTAAATTTTCGTTTGTCATTGCTGTTGGCCTCTTGTTGCGTAAGACGGAAGTAAATTTATTTAATGCTTCTTTGTTTTGTTTGATTCACACTAGATGGCTATGAAAATGCTAGGCGGCTTTGTGATTTGTATTATGTTAACTCTCCTGAACTAGAACTTGAAGAACTAAATGGTAAGCCTGCCTGGTGGTGTCTGTCCTCAGTAGTGGGTGGTCTGACGACCAAGGAGCAAGTTGAGATTGGCTCGAACAGTAAAGGACTCTTCCATCGACTTCTTCCCTAAGTGTGGAGGCAGAAGATACACGTGTGCAATGCACACCTCCACTTACAGAATTTAGCTTGATTCTTAGGACAGATATTTTGATGTTTTGTTTTTGCTCTATTTTAAACTGATAATTTTGATTTGTTGCTATTTTTTTTCAGAGATAGTGAGAAAAAGAAATAGTACCAAGAAAATTATATTTAATTTTTGTGTATTCCTCATAGCAAAGTTTACCCTTTTTCTACTTCCTGAATTGTGAGTCAGTTTTTATTGTTGAAGTCAGAGACCTGGTCCCGTGAAAGACAACGGGAGCCGCTGCCCCTCTGTGTGAGAGTCCGGTTCTCTCTAATGGGCTCTGCTTGCCTTTTGATAAAGGGTTCAGGGTTTTGGAAGGAGACCGATGATGATAGTTTAACAAGGAAAACCTCTCCTGGGTTAAGATAATCCCTCAGGAAGGTGATGGGAGGAAATACATTTTAATAGGCTTTAGGCCACATTCTGGATCTCTGAGAGGGGAACAGTGGTAGCTACCCAGTTGAGGTAGAATTGCTTGTGTTTTCCTGCCACTCTAATTATTCGGATGGGTACTACCCAGTAAGAAGAATCACACTTCACAGACAAGAGTTTGGGAGCTTAAGCTCTATGGGCAGTTTCAAGATATCCCATTCATGTTTCTAAGTGGGACGGCAGTTTCAAGATATCCCATTCATGTTTCTAAGTGGGAGGGCAGTTTCAAGATATTCCATTCATGTTTCCAAGTGGGAGGTTTTCAGATGAGACTTTGACTTATTGTTTGAATTAGAGTCCAGTTTCTTATTAGTCAAAATACTCTAAAAGTATGGTGCCTTACCCCTTTGTTCTCCAGAAGTCTTGTTACCTATACCCCTTGAGAAATTATGCTAGCTTTTTAAAAATTTCTTTAATCCAGTGCTGTGGCCATAGAAATGTCTGAAATAAAATAGACAGTGTTCTACCTGGGTGAAACATGTTTTTTTCCTAAGGTGTCCATTTTAGGAAGTATAATCCTGCCTGAAGATTGAATTCTTTTAACCCTGCCTGACATAGAAAGTGTAGGAGGCTGGGTGGCTCTTATTCCGGATTGGATTGAGGAACGGCAGCAGGACCGTTGTTCTTGTCCTATGTGAGTGTGTACAGGGTTCAAACCCTCAGACGGTGAAGAAGAGGTGTGGAATCCCGCCCCCCAGCATAGTACCGTCCTCCATAGCTAATGTCTCCCCACATCACTCCAGTCTGTTCTGAAGGATGCTGTAAGCACATCTCTCTGTACTTTCACATTTTTCTCTTCTGCTCTGTAGCGGTTTCACCAGGACAGACAATACACGTGGTTTATGTACCATCCCATCTCTATCACATGGTGTTTGAACTGTTCAAGGTTTGTAAAATAGTATTGCGTAACCTTTACCAGTCCTTTCTTATCTTAGGAATCTGTTCTAAGACCCATGTTCCTGTGGACTTTCTAGTTCATCAAGATAGGCCATTTCATGTCAGTATCGTGCCGCTTGGCTGGAAGTGAGCCTGTGTCTACACACATGGGTGCCCTCTATACAGAGAGCACATAGACCCCAGAGTCAGACCTGGGGTTGAGTTTTCATTCTGTTGCTTAACATGACTTTGGCCCTCTTTGAATCTAAGGTAATATTCTCCAGGGTAACTTATGAAGATTGGGAAAGGCATGCTAAATGCTCATAATAGCAGAGCATGCGGTTGGTGCTTAATAAAGTTATATACATATTTTCATAAGCCAAAATATTTGGAACAATAATTTCCAACTTTCTACCCTTGAGCCAGCCCCACTTTATATGCCTTTGTTCTGTGTTTTTCTTCAGAAAGAGTTTATATTGGGCTTAGAGAACTAATTGCTGTTTGTAACAGATTCAGAAAACTCAATAAAAGCATGCTGGTTATGTTGAGAATCCAGTCCCTCACCACCGATCCCCACCTGTTAGTCGAAAGAGAGTGGTTGGTAATTGTGTTTGGTTCCTGCAGCTGACCATGACTCTCCTAGCTCAGGCCTGTACCGCCTCCTGCTTTAGCTGCCCAGTCTCCGGCCAGCAGCAGACCAGAGGAGCGGAGAGATGGCTGGCTGTTGGATAACACAAAATATCAGCAGGCCGGCCAGGTGTGGGGGCACACACCTGTAGGTCCATAAGCCCAGCACTTTTGAAGTGGAGGCAGGAAGGGCAGGAGCGCTAGGCCACTCTGAGCTGCATGACAAGACCCGGAAAATCCAAAGGAAAGAAAATAAGAAAGAACAACATACTAAAACACAGAAAGCCAGGAGAGGAAGGGTGGAAGAATGTGCTTTGTTTTGACAAGTTAAGAATTCACCCAATACCTACAGAAATCCATTAATGGCTAAAAAGCAGCTGGCCCTAATGTGTTAGATTGGTGTTTTCCCCTTGAACATTCAGTCATGTAAAGATATACTCTATAAAGCTTTCTATAAGCTGTGACGTGTTTATATAATGCCCACGACAGTGGCTTTTGTCTGGAAACCTGGTTTCACAGAGACACTGCAGTCTCCTCTCCTCAGGTCTGCTCAGTCTTAGCGGCCAGGGCTCTCTTAATTCCGCGTTCAGTCGCAGCTTTCTCTGGCCGCTCTCAGTTCTCCTCCAGCGCCCCGTGCCCTGTTACTATCCATGCCTAGGCAGTGCCGGCCTTGTGTGCCTCACCAGCTTTTAGAAACGGATCAAAACACCTTATGCTGTAAATTCCCTTAGTTTCAAACCAGTGACAAAACTTAAAATTCAAATAATGTACATATGTTTCAAAATTGTAAGTAGTTGCTTTTTTTTTTTTTTTTAAATAAGCTGTGTTTTAATGTAATCCTACTGTATTTCAGAATGCAATGAGGGCAACCATGGAGCACCATGCCGACAAAGGTGTCTACCCCCCGATTCAAGTTCACGTCACACTGGGCGAGGAGGATTTGACCGTGAAGGTAATTTTTTTTTAATGGATGTGTAGGCATACAAAAATAATATAATAAGTTTAATTTCTATAATAGTTAATTTATTCTCAGGGGAAGGAATTTCAGTCAACTAGATAATAAGCACTTTGCTTTGTTTATCTGGCAAACTATAGAATTGTATTTTGAATCTGTTTCTAGTCTGGCCCTTAATCCAGGTGATTCTGGTTGAAGGGACACCTGGAGACAGACTTTGTTCGGGGCCAGTCTCAAACGCTGCGCACTTTCTGTGTGACGGAGCGTTAATCTCACTTCCGTTTCGAGAAGTTCTTTTCATCTGCTTGATTTCGTGTCACCGCCACCTCCTAGGAGCACGTGTGCTTTTACTTTATCGTTGTGGAAACTTAAGGGTCAGAGATGAGCTTAGGGTCACACGGAGTCAAAGCCACAGGCCCTGAGAGCCAGCCGTCTGGTCCTCTGCTCAGCCTTCCTGCCTACCTGCTCAGATAGTGCAGTTTGCTTAGATTAGTTTGCTTCATTTTATAATCAGCTGACATACCAGAGTGTACAAGTCAGCTGTTTGTGCTGGCTGCCCGCAGCGCGTCTTAGCTGTTCTGGACTGACTTCTGAGGAGTGTTCAGGCATTGCCAGTTCTGAGGATTTTACACCGTAAATAGCGCACACCGGCTTTCTGCGCTGGCTGGTAGAGGCGTTAGCTCTCTCGGATGTAGCTGTAGAACACTTCTGCCTTCCCTACTCAGCCCCAAGCGCCTGCGGTAGGACCACCAGGCACCTACAGAACTCTGAAGATAATTGTGTGCAGCCTGTAATTCCATGGATGAAATCAACACTGGAAAAAATGCAAATCATTATTTTCATAGTTCTCATTTATATGCCCCCCACGTGCCATTCGCTCTCCATCCTTAAAATGCAGTTTCTCAGGGCAAGGTAGTCTGAAAAACCACTGTTTTACACAACATGAAGTAACTTAGTGCAGTGTTTGGGCTGATCTCAGTTCGGTATGGTTGATAGCTTAGGCCTTCTGAAGGCTTTCTTGGATGATGGCTTAGCACTCAGATTATGGTCTTCTAGATTCCCAGGGTTGGAGTTTGCAAAGCCCCATGGCTGTCTTACTCCCTCACTGTCTTCTAAACTCTTTGGCTAGCCTGTTACTTGTTCTAGCTTACCCACGTCGTCAAAGCCCTCCGAGTATTCCATGACTTCTAATTGTTCCTGACAACTGTCTCCAATGGGACCAGAGAGACTAATAGTGGCAGGGTGCTGGGGAGTTTAGTCAGAGCAAATAAAGGCTGTCAGTGGCTGGATTCATACTACTGGCCTGTCAATGGCCTGTCAGTGGGTGGGGCAAGGAGCGGGGCTAAATGCATTCCCAGACCTCACAGAGCTGCTGCTGTCAGGGGCGGGCGGGGAGCAGGGCTAGATGGGCGGAGCGGGGCTAGATGAGAGCAATCCCAGAGCACACAGAGCTGCTGCTACCAGGGGCAGGGCGGGGCGGGACGGGGCGGGGCGGGGCGGGGCGGGGCGGGAGCAGGGCTAGATGGGCGGAGCGGGGCTAGATGAGAGCAATCCCAGACCACATGGAGCTGCTGGTGTTCAGTGCTTCTCTTGGACAAGTGCCTCTCCATTGGTTCATTTTCAAGGTCCTGATCCTGACAAAGTTTTGAATTTTGCATTTTTCTTGGTACTATGTTGGAAGAGTTTGGGGGTCTGTCCTTTGCTGTTTTTTCAGAAGACATCCAGGTTATTCCCTCTGAGAACAACCTGGTTCAGAAGGTTTGCAGCAGTTCCTCTTTCTTCATATGTTTCTTTTTGGGCATCTGGTTTTGTTTTCACTGAGGCTCCTAGATCTTTGTATGGATTGTGTTCTGGAATTCCCTGTGATTGGAGTCTCTGTGAACCTTTGTTTTCTCTGGGATCTCTGGCCTCATTCGTCTTATTTTCTTCCCCTGTTGCTGTGATAAAATCTGCTGGGAAAAGCAACTTGAAAGAGAAAGGGTTTGTTTTGGCTCATGGTCAAAGGGTACAGTCCATAGAACTGGGGAAGACATGGTAGAGGGGCTGCAGGTACCGGGCCACAACGTCCATAGTCAAAGGGTACAGTCCATCGAACTGGGGGAGACATGGTAGAGGGGCTGCAGGTACCGGGCCACAGCGTCCATAGTCAAAGGGTACTGTCCATCGCATTGGGGAAGGCGTGGCGGAGGAGCTGCAGGTACCGGGCCACAGCGTCCATAGTCATGAAATAGCTGTGATTCACCTGGTACTCAGCTATCCTCTTCCTTTGTGGGCCGGCAAAATTAAAATTATAATTTATTTACCTCTACCCCCTCCCATGGTCCCCATGCTCCCAATTTATTTACTCAGAAGAACTTATCTTTTTCTACTTTCCATGTAGATTAGATCCATGTATGTCTCTCTTAGGGTCCTCTTTGTTGTCTAGGTTCTCTGGATTGTGAATTGTAGGCTGGTTTTTCTTTGCTTTATTTCTAAAAGCCACTTATGACTGAGTGCATATGATATCTGTCTTTCTGGGTCTGGGTTACCTCATTCAGTATGTTTTCTTGATCCATCCATTTGCCTGCAAATTTCAAGATGTCATTATTTTTTTCCCCTGTGTAGTACTCCATTGTGTAAATATGCTTGCCACATTTTCTTTATCCATCCTTTGGTCAAGGGGCATTTAGGTTGCTTCCAGGTTTCCTTGTGGTATCTTTTGTGTACTTTGCATACTTTAGTTTCTTAGGGGATAAACTTAGGAGATGGCATTGCTGTGTAGCGTGTCCTTGTCTTTTTTATTTATTTTTATCCTGGTTATCATATTGCCCACCAGGACGTATTAACCTTGTGTTAGCTGCAGCGTTGAGGGCAGTGTTTGCTCTTGCAACCTGGATTGTGGCTTCCGAAAGCAGCCTTCTCCCCGAAGCACCTGAGTCGTGACGCTGCCGTGTGTGGGGCTTGCTCACAGTGTGATCTTTCTCCTCTCAGATGAGTGACCGGGGAGGTGGTGTTCCCCTTAGGAAGATTGACAGACTCTTCAACTACATGTACTCGACTGCACCCCGGCCTCGTGTTGAGACGTCCCGTGCAGTGCCGCTGGTACGTGAGGCAGGAAGGCTGTGAGTCCAGCAGCCATCATCGGACTGTGGCTTCTCCAAAACCAGTCAAGCCGATTTCAGAGGAGCTCACAGGGAAGGAAAAGGCTTTGAAACTTCAGAGACAAACACTTCTGTCTAAATCTAAACAGCCCTGGGATTAGTTTTTTAATTAAAATAGGCACAAGACAGATGATAGTTTTAAGAATTTTTTTCCCTGGTACTCTTAGTAGTGACGTCACAGCAGTTTCTCTATGGTAAACCATGTGACAGTGGATTTCAATATGAAGATTAAACTAGGGATTGTAGTAATAGTTGATTTTTTGATATTTTAACATCATCGACTTTTTGATATTTACCCTGAAGTATTCATATTTAGAAAGACCTCATTATGAGGCACAGGGTGACCTTGAGTTCTCAGGGAGCTGCCCGCCTTTGCCGCCAGTGTTCTGGGGTTAAAGTCTTGTGCCACCATGCCCACCCAGTGTTTTACATTTTTTTTAAACATTTATTTTTATGATTGTATGTGTATGAATGTTTTGGTTGCATGTATGTAAGCGCACCAATGTACAGCACCTACAGAGACCAGGAAAGGGTGTTAAATCCCCTGGAACCGGAGTTACGCATGGCTGTTAGTCACTCGGTGGGGACTGGGAACCAAACTTAGATCACCCTTGACTGCTGAGTTGTCTCCCCTGCATTCAGGGTTTAATCTTTTAATTCTACTGGTCTGACCCTCAAGTTATAGTTGTTTAGGTGCTGTTTGCTCTCAGAGGCTCCCCCTTGAACAAGTGCCCTACCAGGGAAGAAGTGGGGGTGGCTGCCCTGACTTCCCGGGCTGTCCTCTGGCTCCTCAGTGCAGGACCCTCCGAGAGCTGAAAACTCGGTTGCAGCTCAGCCCGGTGCAGGGAGGAAGTTGGAACTTGGGTAGTTGACGTGGGACACACACACACACAGAGTTTAGGATATAAAATAATTAGAACTAGTGGGACGGCTCAGGGGAAACACGCTTGCCTTACCACCCTGATGACATCGTTTGGTCCCCAGATCCCATGTGGCAGGAGAGAGCCAACTCCTGGAAGTTGTCCTTGCCACCACACATACAACATTGTGCACACATGCCTGCACTCACAAACACACAATAATAATAATATAAAAATAATCAGCGGGAGAAGAGGCCAGAGCCTCTGCGTGTTGTTGGTGCAGTGACTCTTCTGTTCACACACACACTGAAGAGCGGCCCACTGTGAGGAACGCCATTGAAGGCGTGGTGTGGAGATGGAAGCCATTTAACTTTCCCAAGTGTTTGTGGATTTTATCCAGGTAAAGAAGGACCAGATACTGGAAACGGGTTGAACAAAGACCCAGGAGTCCTGTGTTTAGGGAACTGAGGGTGGGAGGTTGGTTCCACTAGGCAGGAGAGCAGGAGCCAGAGACCTGCTCTTGTCTCAGAAGCTTTCCTGAAGCTTGGCTTTTTGTCTCTAGGGCGGGGTGGGTGGTGGAGCAGTGGCTTGCTTTGAAGACTCTGGAGTAGGGAAGTGATCTGTCGGTGAGAATTAAGAAAGTGGACTGTTGTAGATTGTCTCCAGGTTCAGAACAAAGGCTGGTCATCCATGGTGTGAAGTTCTGAGCTTCCTGTCTATTAAAGCTGCGGCAAGGCATTTCCTTGTCTGGCTCCTAAACAAAGTGGTGTGCTTTGTATACAATTGCCGAGAGCTGTATTGGGGAGCCTTGGAGCATGACGGCAAAGAAAAAGCAATGTGCCTTATCCAGACTACCACAGTCATTTTATAGATGAGTAAGGGGCTTTAGGCCCAGAATTGATGCACTAATGGGCTTAGCCTAACTCCAGCTTAATCCTTCCATGTGATTGAGTTTTACAAGCTCTCTTGGATGCGTAGGTTGATGGGTCTGCAGTACTTGGTAGCATTGTCTTAGTTAGAAAAGTGTTTAAAGATGTGGGGCTCTGAACAGAACTTTGTTTTTCATTGAACAGGCTGGATTTGGTTATGGATTGCCCATCTCACGCCTCTATGCACAATACTTCCAGGGAGACCTAAAGCTGTATTCCTTGGAGGGCTACGGGACTGATGCTGTTATTTATATTAAGGTAATAACTGAAGGTTCCCGGTTGAACTGAAATATGTGTGTGTGTGTGTGTGTGTGTGTGTGTGTGTGTATTTAATTTTACATGTATGTCTATGCACAGTGTATTGCCTAGTATCCTCAGAAACCAGAAGAGGGCATTGGATCCCCTCAAACATGAATGATAAGATAATTGTGAGCCACCGCGTAGGTGCTGGGAACTTAACCTGGGTCTTCTCTAAGAGCAACCAGTGCTCTGGACAACTGAGCCATCTCTTCAGCCCCTTGCCCATTTATTTTTAATGGTAAGAAAAGGTGCCAATGGAAAAGTATAACTCATACTAGCTACTAAATGTAGTGATAGTTACATGGTTATGCACTCATTTGAGTAGCTGAGGGCAGTAGGGAAAGAAATAGAAAATTAGGTTAAAGTAGAAAATCCTGAGTGTAAAAGAAAGATCCTGGATTCACTTGACAGCTTGGTAAAAAAGGGAAAAAGGTGAATTTAGTTTTAATGTGAAACATATGACCAGTCATTGATCTGCTTTTTAAAAAACAAAAGCCCACATTTGTTTGTTTGCTTGTTACATGTGTGTTCATGAGTTTGTGCATGTGTGGTAGTCAAAGGACAGCTTTCCGGAACTAGTTCTTCCCTCTCACCATGTGGTCACTGGGCTTGGTGACAGCCGCCTTTCACTGCTAAGCCTATTTTGCAAGCAATAATAGCACCCAGACTTCGTGTGTGTGAACCCATGGCTTACACATGTTGGGCTAGTGCTTCCCATCTTCCAGTACATAATTATCCCTTTTCTAATAAAAACACTTATTTTTAATTTAAGTGCATGAGTGTATTGCCTGCTTGTATGTGGACCACATATGTGTCTGGTGCTCACAGAGAAGACAGCATCAGATCCGCTAGAACCAGAATTACAGATGATTGTGGGCCACTATGTATGTGCTGGGAATAAACCCCGGTCTTCTGCAAGAGCAGCAAATGCTCTTGATGGCTGAGCCATCTCCCCAGCCACCTAAACTATTTACAGTGTGTTGTATGGGGGTACACATGTGTGGGAGTCAGAGGGCAATGCTGGAGTTCCTTCCTCTGACCATGTGGGTCTTGAAGAGTAAATTCAGTTCTTTAGCTTGATGACAAGCATCTTTTCCTGCTTGAACCATGCATACACCCAAATAAATAAATAGTAATACTTTAAAAGCACTGATTACCTAGTTGGTGCGCTAGTTTCTTGTTCTGGCCACTAGATGGCACCCGCTTTATAGGCTATGCTTCAAAGTGTTGTGACAAAGTTAGCCTGAAGAGACTAAGTGTTTTATAACCATGTTATTCTTCAGCATGTCTTGGTGAGGAACTTAAATATGACAATATTCGTGTAGTATTTTTATTTAAGTAACATTTGTTTCATTTATTTTACAAACCACCCACAGTTCCCTCCCTCCTCTTCTCCCAGTTCCCCCTACCCCCCAGTGCAGTCTTTTTAACACTAAACGGAGCATTCTGATAGATGTCTAGACTATTTAGAGCACAGAGATGGAAGGTTTTTCTATTTGGGAAAACCTAGAATACAAGCGTTGTAATGGGGTCATCACACCTGGTCCCCTTAAAGACCTTATTCAACATCATCAGGAGGAAATTCCTAGTTCTGGATTGTCAACATCTTGGAACACCAGTGGCCTGTTGTCAGAATTCTGGAAATTCCTGCTGTGAAGACAATAATAGAAAGTGTCGTCATCACTGTGTCCACTGTTTACAGAAAGCTGTAGAACAGTGAGCGAATGGTTGTGTACTGGAGACAGAAATTCATTTTCAGTGACCAAAACTGACTCTAAGGGCAGGAGAAGCAAACACGGTATCCGGATTGCAATGTTGCTCAGTGACAGAGTGCTTGCTTCACCTACCCTGTGTTCAGTCTCCAGCACAGGGTACAGGGAGGGGAAGACATGAGGTCTAAGCAAGGACCAAGCTCTGTTCACGTAAAAGCCAAGACGTCTTAACTTCAGCTTGATATTTATTGATGGTAATATTGGTATGTCCCGTTTTTAATTTTTTAAAAGATTGTTTTATGTGTATGAGTGTTTGCCTGCATGTATGTCTGAGCACCCCATGCCTGTTTAATGTGGGTGGTGCTCAGAAGAGTGCATTAGTTTCTTTGGAGTCACAGATGGTGGTGAGCCACCTTGTGGGTGCTGGGACTGTACCCGGGCCCTCTGCAAGAACAAGTGCTCTTAACCCCTGAGCCGTCTCCGTCCCTGTGTGTTAATGTTTTCAGTAACACACTGCTATCCAGTGAGGAAGATTGGGTTTCTCATTCAATCTGTATGCACACATGAGGGTGGATACCTGAATTTAGGCTCTTACACTTAGCCAGCTTCTTGAGCAGCTGACTCCTGGCTGGGTGTGCACTTTGTACGAGGTGTCTGTTCTGTCTTGGGAAATGTTTCCAGGCTGGCTGGTTGGGGGGGTGACTGAAACATCAAATCCAGCCACTGTGCTATTGGTGCCACAAATGTAGTAAATAGCATGTTTCAAATATGTCCGCCCTGAAGACGATGTGTGATTAGAAATTAGTTGATAAGATGCCAGTAGAATGCTATGTACCTGTAGTTATTGTTCGCCACCGTATATTATCTCAGAAAATGAATTATTAAAAGTGGCCAACTTAGAGGACTTCTTCTTTTCAACTCCAGGCTCTGTCAACAGAATCCATCGAGAGACTCCCTGTGTATAATAAAGCTGCCTGGAAGCATTACAGAACCAACCATGAGGCTGACGACTGGTGTGTCCCCAGCAGAGAGCCCAAAGACATGACCACATTCCGAAGCTCTTAGGTGCATGTGGGACGGCTGGAAAATCCAAATGTGGCTTATGCTGAGTTTGGAAGAGATGTGTTTAGAGCCACATTGTACCAAATATGTCACGTGTGATTTTCACAGTTCACGTTTGCTAAAGCTCCTGAAGGATCAATTACACCAACTTTATTCTGACATGTTTGGTTAATTGGACATATTTTTAAACACTCATAGTTTTGGTCAACTTCCCTCTGTGCGGTAGACGTATGGAGTGTGAAGTCTCTGGGTTTCTGTAGGAAGTTGACGATTTTTTTTTTTCAAGTTTTCATTTATGTCTGCTAGAAACATCTAAAGGATGCGGAGTAGCTGGTTAGCCACCTGCTTTGGAGCTCTGTCATCTGTTAGTGGTAACACCTAATCAGATGGTTTTCTCATCCCCCATGAAAGCAGAACACAGTGGTACCAGTAGGACCTTTCAGCGCCTACATGCATTGTCCACTGCAATTAACTGATCACGGCATAGTTTTATTGCAGTGCATGGTAATGACTGGTTCCTCACAGAGCTAAGTCCAGAATCATGGGTAGTGGGCTCAGGATCAGTGCAAGGGTTTCCTTTGAAAACAGTGTCTTGCTGCGTAGCCCTAGCTGGCCTTGAACAGAATGCCCTTCCTTAGCCTCCTGAGCGCTGCAACAAGAAGGGTGTGTCTGGCTTATAAGAGAAATGTTTATTTCCCAAGCAAGCAAAGTAGCAGAGAATAAACTAGGGCGAAGGCACCAGTGTCCGACTGAACCCACGGACTGTTGAGATTATCTGACGGAGCTTCTGAAGAACTGGCTTCTCTGGGTCCTGTCCCAGGCATCCAGAGGCTGAAGGCCAGAGATGAGTTTCTCCAATTAGGTGAGGCTCATGGCAGGCCTGGCTAAAACCACACTTCAGAGTGAATAATGACACCACTGCTGTTGTCAAAGTGACAGAATGGATCGGGAACCTTTGGTTTCCTGTTTCCAGGTCAGATTGCTAGACTTTAGGGGACATAATCCGAACCTCAGGCCTGGTACAATTGAAAGCAGAATCAGGAACAGGGAGACAAGGATGACCCCAGTCACTTTGGTTTTAAGTGGTGACTACAGGCACGTATATTGTTCAAAAAGTGCCCAGATTTTTTTGTTTTGTTTTTTAATCAGAGAAAAGTCAGCTTAGATTGGCTACAAAAATCCTTCTCATCTGTGTGGTCATTTAAGGTTTGCAATTGCTTTGAGATATTAGGACGTTATTTGTGTCACAACACAGAGCCGTGGAGCAGGTAGTGACACCTTTGTTCTCACTCAGAGTGACCCGAAGTCACACAGAATTGGAGCCCCAGCCTGAGCTATCCCTGCTCATCGCAGTCTTACTGGATCTGTTGAGTGATGAGGAAATACTTTGAGAATGTGCTTTCCCACCTAGACAGGAGGGATTTGGGGGTTTGGTTTGGAAAATGCTGTGACAGGGTTTATCAAATTTTACTGTGTCCCATAAATATATACAATTTAATACAAAAGCCAAATCATGCAACATGGCACAAAAGAGGATTTTTTTACCAAACAATAGAAACGTTGTAGATTGAGGATGCTCCAGGATGGTCGGCCCAGAACCCTCATGGTCCAGGGCTTAGCTAATAAGACCAAATGCTGGAAAAGACACACCTCCTAGTGTTTCTAATTGAGGACTTTGTAAGAAATAGAATGCGTTCCTGAGTGATGTTTACTCCATGTATTACACTTACTAGCTTTAAATTACATTTTCCTGCAACGCTGAAGTATTTTTGGAATCTTTTGTACAACTGTCAATAAACGTACTATTTTTACTTGTGAAATACTTTTCCCTCTCCAAGGAATTAAAAAGTTTCCCCTCTGACTTAAGAGCTAAGAAATGTTTTCAGACAAGAAGTAGAATTATTTTACTTCAGCCCCCTTTTAAAGCGTAGCACCTTTTTGCTTTGTTGTCGTGGTGATGGATGGAAAATCATGTGTGGAAATGTTCTGGGGAGGGGGTCCTTTCTCAGACTGGCTTTTAAAGATACCTAAAAGGCTTTTAGATTCTTAAGGTGAGCTGTTTTGTTCGCTTGCATTAATTTTATGTGGTATAGATATAAAAATAGATTGATAGTCGGGGAGTTGATAGCAAGGGGTTTTTATAACCTAGGAAGTTAATGAGTGTGCCAGTGCTTTGTAGGAAAGGGATTGTAAGAATATTCCACACTGAAGTTTAAAATGCTACTTGGTTTCCATGTCTTTATATTTAAAAATGGTCAGTGTCTTCCACTGCAAAGTTTCTACATGGAGATAGCGAAGCAGAATTTTACTGTATTTTAAGAGACTTTCCCAGTGACAGTGAGCGGAAAACTTGGATCAGCTCTTTTTAAAATAATTTTGAGTCACTTACGGGATACACCCATGTCTTCTAAAGAGTGATCTCTCTCATCATCAAGGCTCAACATTCTATAAACATCCCAGAAATTGTAGGTCGGTGTCAGCACACCGACTCGGCAGGTAAAAGCAGTGGCCACCAAGCCTGGCAACCTAGTTCTTTTCTCAGAACACACCTGGTGAAGTAGAGAACCAACTAATCCATCATCTGTCTTCTGCATGTGTGCGGCAAGTGGGCATCCCCTGTACATACTACACAAAATAAAATGAAACCAGTGGTAGCCAGGTGTCTTATCCTCTCTTAACTATCTCTAATAGTCAAGAGGTGTTTGAGGCAGGTCTCCACTGTGTATGGTTTAGTGGGGAAGCAGGTAGTTGAGTTTGTGTGGTTCGAGTTACTCTAGGCTTTTGTTATCTAATACCCTGCCAATGATTGACTTTTACTGCATCGATGGAAAACTGATGTAAAATTTGAAAAGCTATATAAATAAATCCGAGTAACTTTCCACAGTACAAACGATTGTAGAAAAGGGCTTAATTTAACCAGCACTACTTTCTACCTAGTACTAATGGAGTGTCTAAACTCTCAGAGTCAAGACAGATCACATCCTATTCCTCACAGACAGCATGGGAGCACATCTTCCTCTCTGTTAAAATCAGTAAGTTCCAGCCAGCATGGTGGCACACGTGTAAGGGATCTATCTCTTTAGTGTGAGCCAGCCTGGTCAGCCGAGGGAGTTCATGCCAGTCAACTCTACATAGTCCCTGTGGTTTTTGTATGTTTTAAAATCAACAAGGTCCAGAGCAAATTACAGAGGGAGGGGAAAGAGTTGTGTGGCTCTGAGAATGCCAATTAGGGAGGAACCCCAGCCGATAAACTTTGAGTTTCATCAGTTTTACAAGGAAATGTGAAGCTTCAGAGGATAGATGGCCAGGTTGAATTTGGTTGTTTTTACTGGTGGACCGTCTCATTATTTGATTAACTTCTGGTCTCAATACTAATAATTTTCTCAAAGTCTAACCCAAGACACTCAAAGAATAATGCTTTGTGAAGGTTTTTTAATGTCAGAAATGAATGCATTCCTATTTTACTTAGTCCTGGCATTTGCAAACTGCCATTCATACCATTTGTCTACTTTTGTGTTTGGAAAGAATTAAACATTTTACTGCCCACTTTTTTTCCCTGTAGTCTTATTTCTTTAACAAATTTTAATCATAGATTTTAATAGAAAAAGACAAGATTGTCTATTTTGTCGGCTCCCAAAAGTTTTTATTCAGCTAAGGACATAGAGTGCTTGTCTTGTACTTAGAACCATGTAGGTGTTATACATTGCTAATCTAGAGGCACATGCCTATAATTTCTGGGTGACAGGGGAAGTGTGTTGACAGAGGTTTCTGTTCTGCCCGGTCCCATAGCTGTTCAGTCCCAAAGGAACACACAGGTCTACATTAATTATAAATGGGTTGGCCTATTAGCGCAGGCTTCTTATTTGCTAACTCTTACAACTTAAATTAACCTATAATTCTTGTCTGTGTTAGCCACATGGCTTGGTACCTTTATTCATTGAGGCATTCTCATCTTGCTTCCTCTGCATCTGGGTGATAACTGCAGACTGAGCCTTTCCTCTTCTCAGAATTCTCCTGTGTTGGTTGCCACACCTATACTTCCTGCCTGGCTACAGGCCAATCAGCATTTTATTAAACCAGTACAAGTGACAAATCTTTACAGCATACAAGACCATTGTCCCACAGCACCCCCCCCCCTTTTTTTTTCAAATCAAGAACACTGAATCTAATCTCCTTTGGTTAGCTTTTTTCTTCACCATAACAAATTGTAACCAACACTTTGAACAAAGATAAACATCTATAGTCCATTTTTGGGGAATGTGGATATAGTTTTCTAGGCTATTTCCTGCTGATTGGGGGAGCTGATAATCTTACGGGGACCTAAAGAAAATTTAGGATTATGGTCAAGTCCTGACTAGAATATTCTATGAGGCTTCATCATCTCAGCCAGCAGTCTTGAGGCTGTTCTGGATGGAGAACTCAGAGGAAACTCCAGCAGAGGTTCTCTGAAATGTTGGATCATCTGGGCCATCTGCTCCTATCAGAGATTTCTCAGGGGGTCTTTCTTTATCAAACCTGATTTTTCTTAATCCACAGCCTCTCATTTCCTGTTGAATCAAAAGCAAAACCTCTTCTCCAAAGTAACATTTTTGAGTTAAATTTTGAAGTCAAGCATTTTCAAAATATGTTAAATTAATCCAGCAGCTTTTATAATCAAATGTCTTTCAGCAGCTGTTGCTCCTTCCTCAGCTGTCAGACAATTTAAAGACAACACAACAGCATACAGTATTCAGATTCTCTGTGTATTTTCCATCTTTACGTGACTTTATTTTAAACTCTATTTTTTTTAATTTGTGTGTGTGTTTTGAGATAGGGTTTTTCTGTGTATCTTTGTCCTGGAACTCACTTTTTAGATCAGGCTGTCCTTGAACTCACAGAGATCCACCTGCCTCTGCCTCCCAAGTGCTTTGTGGCAGAGCCTCTTAAAAGAGCTGCAAGATTTTTGCAGCTAAAGCTGAGTCAGGAAGCCTCTCGTAAATGAGATGTGCTCTAGCAAACAGAACCCACCTGAGAAAAGGCTGCTACCAAGAAGTCGTGCTTAACTCTGTTCTTTTTGTGTCTAGAATTCCTTCCCAAACTTTAAGTGGATTTCCCAGGCTTTAAGTGGATTTAGTTGTCCACATTGGTGCCAACTGTTGACAAAAGTGTTGGTCCTGGCAAGATGGACTCCACGGGTGAGCACAGACAGGATCTCAGGGAGAGGCCATATTAGCTTGGCTTTGAAAGTTCTGGAACAGCTCTTCTTCCTTATTAAACGGTCAGCCCTTTGTTGTTCCTCTGGGCATGACGGAGGCTTCCCTGGGCACATGAGCGGTCTCTCTAGTCTGCGCTTGCATGTCCTGCATCGCAACTTGCTTCATTTCTTCCCAAATGTTGGGGATTCTATCCCATTGTTTTGTTTTGTTTTGTTTTAAAAAGCGAAGATTGTCTACCCTTTCAGTGAGTTTATTTCAGGAGCATTTAAGGGAAGTGTATCTGACTTACTCTGACTTCAGTGTTATTGCCTCAGGCAAAGAGAGATGCACTCTATTAAATAAACAAGACAACCCGAAGAAGCAAGAGGAGGCATCCCTGGACACGAGGTTTATAAACTGGGTAATGTATTTTCTTAATGCTCATTATCATTGGAAGGCGTGATTAGCCTGCTGTTTGTGTTTGCTATATTGTCCTTAGATCCAAATTATCCATTGAACAAATTAGTAGCCCCCGTGCGGAATCGTAGTTCTCCGGTGTTGAGAACGAGTCACCATAAACATTCCCTTGTAATTCACTTCTTTCCAGCTGTGTGGGCCTTCCTCATTATATCCTATGCTGTGAACTTTATGGTACATTACTTCCAGTTGATGTCTGGGCCTGTGGAGACAGCTCAGCAGTGAAGAAGTCTTTCTGCCCCTCTAGAGGACCCGAGTTCTGTTCCCAGCTTCCATGCCTGCTGACTCACAGATGTCCTTAACTTGGGCTTCAGAGGCTCTGATGCTTCTGACCTCAGCTGGCACCTACACACATGTACGTCCATGCACAGACACACGCTTACACATAGTTAAAAACAAGACGAGTCTTTTTAAAAAGCTGAAGGATGCTAAATGCGAGGTTCAGGTTGGTGGTTGCAAGGGTCGGATAAGAACAAGCGCAAAGTCAGTGTAGGCTCATTATTAAGGTCATAGGTTTTTGCTGCATATCCGGGTCATGGAAGTTTAGCACATTGCATTTCATTATGCTGCGTAATCTGATTCTTTGCCTAAGTTCTTTTTAGTGTATAAGTACATTTACATGGTTGGGATGGTGTTAACAGCAGCAGGTGTTCTTGAGGGCTGCGGATTGTAGCTCAGTGGTAGCCCTTGTCTAGCCTGCCTTTGCGTTAATCGCTACACGGTGAACGCAGCAGTGGCGTTCACATGTTCTGTCTCCCACGTTAGTGTTCACGTAGAGCACGCTTTAAAGCCAGCAGGAAAACAGATGAACAGAATGTATAGATCATTTTAACAGTTGCATTTTCCCCCTTCTAATTTATAAAAGCAAGGTTTGCTATTATTTAAAAATTTAGATAGCTCTTGAGTATTAAGTAGAAATAAATTATTCCCCCTGGAACCTACCACCTCCTACTAGCCTATATATCTAGCAAACATGCGTCTTCTTAAAAATAAAAATGCAGGCTTTAATCCCAGCATAGAGGATGCAGAGGCAGGCAAATCTTTTTGAGTTTGAGGCTAGCCTGGTCTACCAAATTCCAGGCCAACCAGAGCTGCACAATAAGACCCTGTCTCAAGATAATATTTAAAACCTAAGACCTATTTGTCTTTCCCTGTGCTTTAACATCTTATTCTTTTCCTTTGAGTAACATCTTTCATATTAGAATCCATAATACACTGTTAGAGGAGACATAATTTTTCATTGTATCAATGATGTCGGTTGAATTAATATGTTAACCTGAGCACAGGTGTGTAGATTATTGTTGATGTACCAGAACACCAAGTGCTGCTCTCACCATGCTTTTTAGCACAGGCCTTCCCACTGACGGTTAATTTTGCTGGTTCACTTGACACTGTATAGAATTGTGTAGGAGACAAATGTGGGCATGTCTGTTAGGAAGTGTCTAGCCTGGGCTAACCAAGATGAGCTACCCTGACTGTGGGCAGCAGCATTCCACAGGCTGAGGCCTGGGCTCATAAGAAGGAGAAAACCATTCGAGTACTGGCATTCACCCCTCTCTGCTTCCAGGGTGTAGATGCCATGTGACCAGGTGACTCACAGCTGGCTTTTGCTGCCACACGTTCCTCTCAAGATGGACTGTCCTGTCAAGCATGAGCACAAGCGTCTTAGGGTTTTCTATTGCTATGATGAAACACCGTAACCTTGGCAACTCTTCTAAGAAAACATTTCATTGGGATGGCTCGCTTACAGTTTCAGAGGTTCAGTCCATTATGATCATGAAGGGGAACATGGCAGTGTGCAGGCAGACATGGTGCTGGAACTGAGAGTCCTACATCTTGCAGGCAACAGGAAGTAGACTATCACACTAAGGGAAGCTTGAGCAAAAGAGACCTCAAAACCCGCCCCCACAGAGACACACTTCCTCCGACAAGGCCACACCTCCTATTAGTGCCACTCCCTGTGGGGGCCATTTCCTTTCAAGTCATCACCGCAGGTAAATCCTTTTTCCTTAAGATGTGTGTGCCATGTGTTCTGTCCCAGCAATGAGGTAAGTAGCCACGGCAGCTGCAGCAAATCTACGAATAACTCAGGAGGTGCCAAGCGCCCCTGTGTGGGTGAGGGGAGCTCAGGATAGAACCCAGAACACCAGAAAGGCAAAGTGCTACCCCACCACAAGCTGCATCCCCAGTCCCTCGCCTTTCTTAAGTGAGATGCCAGACCACTCAGGTGGTGCTTGTGAACCTGATTGGACCCCAAAATCATTGGGCATCATGAGATACAAAAGCCATGAAGTTTGTGAGCCTGAGAAAGGAAAGTCAGAGGCTTAGATTAAAAGAGACTTTTGCAAAACCCTCGAAACAAGGGGAGCACTCTCTTTAGTTTGTTTGGAAGAAGATGCCCAGAGGCTGCTCAGAGGATGCTGGGGAGCAGTAAGGAAAGGCCTGGACCCCATTTTTATTGAGCCCTCATTGATAATCAGCATCCAACAGGGAAGATAAGAATAAAATTGGAAGAGGTGTGAGAACCACAACCCAGGGTGTGTGAAGATGGAAGATTTCCCTCTGTGTAGAGTAGTGCAGGGCTTGAAACAAGTGGGGATTCTCAGGGTTGAAGCTCAGATAGGCAGGTGATTTGGGTTGATTTTCTGGAAACAGAATGAGATGGGGTCATTAAAGTGTTGACTGATGAAACATTCTCCACAGTCATGCCTGAGATCTAGAGCATTCTCTACAGTCACACCTGAGAACTAGAACATTTCCACAGTCACACCTAAGAACTAGAACATTTCCACAGTCACACCTGAGAGCTAGAACATTCTCTACACTCACACCTGAGAACTAGAACATTTCCACAGTCACACCTGAGAACAAGCACATTTCCACAGTCACATCCGA